ATCACTTTAATCAATATCATCCATATTTCAATAATTTCACTAATTATTATTCAATAAATCATCAATTTCACAATTGGAGGAGGATCGTCGACGGCTTTGGAGGGATCGGCGACTGGAGATCGGGATGAACGACAGCGAGAAGAACGATGATGAGCGGACAAGAACGAGAAGAAAAGAAAAGAACGAGAAGAGAAGAACGTATTGATTAAGGTAGTGGTAGTTGGGGGTATATGAGTAATTTAAGTGTCAAGGCCTTCAAAAGTTCCAAAAAGTCACGGATACGTGACTTTTTCAAATGCTCCTTTTCCTTTTTTGTGAAAAGTTGGTTTTAAAAGATCTTTTCCCTTTGCCATACATCTTTTCCCTCATTTTTAACTTTTTGGAAAAGATAATGGCTAAAAGATGGTTCAAAAGATATAACAAACACCCCCTCTTTGTCTTGGAAAACCCTCAAAACACGCACTAACGAGACCTAGAAGCTTCGCCAGAATGGGCTCATGTAGTTTGTCTTTTTAAGCTTTAACAATCTCCAATTGGTATTTCAACCCAAATGCAACATTTTGGCCTAAAAAAATGGAGAATAGCAATCTTTTTAAAAACCTATTTTTTAGTTTATCTGTCTTGATAGTTTTTAGTTCAACCAGTTTCATCAATTTTAGTGAAAAAATTAAAATGATCTAGAAGTCAAAAAAACTATGTATTTTTTTTATATGTTTGAAAACAGTGGCGGATACAGAAAGAAAAATCAGGGGTTGCACAGATTCTTTAGGGGTTGCACTATCAGAAACTTTTTGTTACCGAAAGAAGTTTCCGTCACAAAATCGTCACTAAACCAGTGAATTTACACTAAATTTATAATTATCAGACTTTGTGATGGATTGTTGACGGATTAGTGACGAATTTGTGACGGATTTCCGAAAAAAAAAACACGAAATTTACATTTGACGGGAAAATTGGAGGGGTATCCCGGGCTACCCCGAGCTACATAGTAGCTCCGCCCCTGTTTGAAAAGCTTTACATGTGTTTTTTCCTATTAAAACAAGCATGTATTTTTTAGAGTTATGACGTTTTTGTCACTAGATGTCCAGTGTACAAAAATATATTTGATGATCTGAGAAAATACTTCTTCGATCAACTTTAACGAAAAGTCTGGAACGACCTAGAAGTAAAAAAAACGGTGTATCTTATATGTTTAGAAAGCTCAGGATGTGTAGTTTTCAATGGAAAAACGGTTATTATCACTGTAGCCCAACAAACTTTCTTATATTGGTTTAAATGGTCCCTTATGACTACTTTTTGCATTTTAGGGGCACGTACTTGTGTTTTACGGTTTGAAAATGTCATTTTACCCATTTTAGCTCGTATTCATGCCTAGTCACCTGCTAAGTAAGCAGGTTAGTGAATACATATAACTCGGTGAGTCAGTGCAAACTCACTAATGAGTCGACTCGATGACACACTTGCTGGAATAGGGTCACCCATCCACATCTCTTTCACATTTCTTCTTAACCTATACGTACACGCTTTTTGTTCTGATGACTTTTTTTCTTCTTCGTGCGAATATGCACATGGAGTGTTTGAATCATGGCTTCATCTATGCTGAGAAATTTCATAGGTACAAAGACCATCAAGTGCAACACATGATAAGGGTTTCAATGTTGCTCACACGGTGGAGGAGCTCCGACCAGTGTGCGCTTCTACTGGATCAACTCTTCCTTCTCCGAAATCAGGATCTGTTGATGTTAATTCAATGGAAATAGGTTTAATGACCCCATTGGCGCTCGGTTCAACTCCACTGATATCCCCTTCGACATCTATGATGTGGTAGAACGAGGTGAATCATGTGACGCCGCCGGCACTGCAACTTCCGGGGAGTAGGTTGAAGACGACTCCGGTTATGGGTTTGATTCGTCGGTGATAGTTGCTCAGGCAGTCATTGACACCGGTCAATCCCCCAACAAACCTCCACCTTTTCCGAATGGGGTTCGCTCCGAATGGGGTTCACTAGAGACGACGTGCATTGACACCGAAATGCAATCCTTTTTCTTTGATTGCTTTGTAAGAGCAGGAATCGGTGAATCCGATCTTGAACCTTCTGAAATCTCTATACCTTCTCCATGATTTCTCTTTCCGATTCTGAAATCTCCATGTGACATCACATTCGTTTGGATTTGAGGTGTTGACTGGTGTTTGATAGTCGAGAAACACTATTCATTTGAAGTGTTTTAGGTTGAATTTCTTGATAGCCATCAAAACTCCCCTATCAGAATATTTTACTAACCTCGTATCATCGCAAGCACCAACGACAAAAGCAAACCCCAACAGGGCATTTCCTATTATTCTCATAGCCAATACCCCTCGACTTGGCCTGAAATTCACGAACCTCCACTGAAAACCGCCACACTTCCGCTACCACTATTGGGTTCGGTTCTCTCCATGGGCCAGTAATGTCGACGATTAACACGGTCGCAGTCACTACAGTCGCAAATTGGGTGGAAGGAGATAGTGAAATCTAGAGCGCGAGATGTAGCCAATTTGATCCAAGGGTAGGATGGCCCAAATGAAAACTAGGGTAAACATTATCACACCCACGTGGCAATGACCTGGACTTCTTTAATCTAGATGGCAATGACGTGGGATTGGCAAAGTACAAGGAGGATTAACTATAAACCAAGACCCTTTGAGTGTTAGTTATTACCTTAATTGTTGATTATAGTTTTATTGTGTATATATTTAGTGTGAGGGGTTTCGGTATCACCAGCTTGGGTGTATGATTGTTTTGTTTGTTGATTGAGGTGAGTCTTCTCACTATACTATGTAGGATATTAGCTGTCTTTGTAACTCTTGCATTGTATGCCAGGCGGGGCCCATTTGTATGCTGGGTGGGGCCCATTATGATGGGCGGGGCCAGATATGATAGGTGGGACCCAATGTTATGTATTGTATGTGGTATTTTGTGGAACTCACTAAACTTTGTGCTTATGGTTTTATGGTTAAAACATTTCAGGTACTTCTGATTCCAAAGGGAAAGGTCCGACGTGATCGCACAATATCCCCTTGATTTTTATTTCGCATTGTTATTTGGATTTACTTTGATGTTGAGAATATTTATAATGTGGTTGGTTTTGGAATATTTGGTTGTATCTTTTGGGTGTTTGAAAAATGAATTTTTATTGATATTTTTGGGACGTTACAAATATAATATATTTCCACATGGTTTAGCAATTTCGAAGTAGATTTGCTTTTGTTATTACGTACATTTGTTTTTTTTTCTTTTGTCTGAGGCCCCGTTTGATAGTTGCTGACTGAGAAAGTGCTGACTGGGAAAGGTCTGTCTGGGTAAGAAATCCTGACTGAGT